AAGCGAAATTATAAAAAATATGATGAGGATACGGTGGGCTGTTGTTAAAGCGTCAGAGTATCGTTTAGCTGAATAAAATACTCTTGAAGATAAATTGAAAAATTTACAGAATGATATCCAGAACATTGTTTTCCATGTTTTTGGTGATCATAAGATGTGTGCTTCATATTTTTGTGATGGAAAATCTAAAGATGGCGAAGTAAATTTAGTGCCAGAATTGAAGGAGCTGGGTTTGTTCGACGTTCTTACAAATATTCTTGACAAATTAAGCCATCATGTAGAAAGTGTATTATACCATAAAACTTCAAACCGTGTTGAGACTTTCAATTCCATCGTGAATAAAAAGATTTGTAGGAAAAGAAAATCTATTTTACAGAGAGGCATGTATCCCGGTCGATTAGCAATTGCTGTCGTTCAATTCAATACACATAGACCGGCCACGATGCTCAATGAATACTTAAACAAAATTACTCCGGAAACTGCGATCCTGATGGAGAATAGCCGCATAAAAAAAAATGAATATAATGTAACGAAAATGAAAGAAACAAAAGAATCACGACAGTTTCAAGAAGTTGACAGTGATTGTGATAAAGAAGAAGAAGATATTTCTCAACAGTCTTACTAAAAGAAGCCAAGAGAGCCCGGAAAGAAAGACTATGGAACAAATTGTAATAAACTAGATATAAGTAAAGAAGAATTTGAGGCGCAAGTAAATCGTCACTACGAATTATTGTACAATACATTGCAAACTAGATAAGAATTACAAGAATGTACTCACGGGAGTAGAAATAGCACTGAAAACATTTTCATTGTGCAAAGGTATTTATTAATGGAACAATATTTTGGCGAAATTTGCCGTATGCAATCGAACACGAAAAATTTTTCGATCATAAAGAAAATATTATATCCATCTGTTCGCCGCATGAACCTTCAAAAATATGAAAGCAACAAAGAAAAATTTTACAGAAAACGGATATAAAATAGAGAAATATGGATTGTTTATTTATTAGCAGCTGCCATATCTATCTTCCTTACCTGATGGACTTATGACAAATTGTAAACGAAATGATACTGTACTATTTATTGAATGTCCAAATCTCGCAAGAGATTTTACGCCGGAAGAAGCGATTGCTCTGAAGCTCGGAAAAATTTACACCATGTTTGACAAAGACTTAAGTAGTTTCAACCGAAATCATGAATTATATTATAAAATAATTAGAGCCATGGAAATAGTACAAAAACCATTTGGTATGTTGGTATTACAGACTCCTAAAGTATCAAAGGTAATCAATGTCGACAGAAATCAACATTTCTGGGAAAAGAACATGGAAAATTGTCTAATAAACTTCTATGAGAAGAAGTTGTTGCCTGAAATAATTGACAGTCGGCATAAAAGAAGTATGGAGATCAGAGAATCCATCGACTTTGATATTATTAGTTTTAGAAGCTATATAAAAGAGAACAATTTAAAAATCGAAGAAGTTAGTGAAGAAGAATTTGAAGGTGGAGAATATTACGATGGCGAAAACCAACTGCATTTGAATAATATACGATTCACCGTAGACACTAATGTAACTCGGCATAAGAAACAAAATAATTTACAGTGTAAAATCATAGAAATCAGTGAAGATGAAGAGCATGATGGCAATGGCCATAATTCGAAACATTCAAGGCGAAAAAGCAATGTTCCGAGTATGGCAACAAGTAGCTCTCAAAAATTTGCACAAATCCTTGATGAAACGTATTGGTTAAGTAGTGACGAAATGAATGCTTTCATAGAAATTGTGATAAATACCAGTCAAGGATATTATGTACCTGAATTAACAATTAGAAGTCAATTCATAAAACCAATATGCCCACTGAAAAAGCACATACATTATTACATTACATTAGTACCCGAGTCGAAATAATGGGCCTGGTTTGAATCTTCAAAGCCTTAATTCCTTTGATAATGAATATGCCGCCCAACATTTTGTTATTTGTTAAAATCTCCAAAGTCTACTTTTACACTTGGAAGACTTAAATCAGTACTTTAGATATTTTGGAATACTGGTTAAGGTCTCTAAGTTCTATATTTTCTCATCTAAAAATAAAAATATTAATTCAATCCTGCAAAATCGAATAGATGTTTCAATTATAAACATAAAATGGTGGAATTCTTATAAAACATATGTTTTACTAAGTTTAATTATTCAATAATTTATTTTTACTTCATGTTATTTAGTTGCCTGAAGAATTTCCTATTGCAAATTTGCGAACTCATACAAAAATTAGTGTCAACCACGAAATATATCTATCATCTGATACAGCAGTGTACATAATTCAGAAAAGTAAGACTCAGTCATCACTAGATTAGAAATATGCAGTCAAACTTACTCTAATAGAAATACATGGTAAAAAACTTAAAAATTATTGTGCACTCGGAAAAGTTGGTGATCGACCCAGAATTGACCCTGAATTGTTCGAAGCTCTCTATGGTGAGTGATGTTTTCAATATAATATTGGTCGTAAATTTCTGCTTAGCATTAATAATATTCTGAATTATAATTTGTTTACAAAATGGTTGAATGCGTGTTTTTCTGAAGATGATCAAATCAAAAGAGATTATATTGAATATATAAATAAATTATTCAGGGAATCTAAGAAAAAAGAAGAACGATAATGCTAAAAAAGTAAAGAGTACCACAAATAAAGAATAAAATAATTTATTTTTATTATTAACAATTGTCTTCATGTTAAAAATTTATTAAAAAATAAATGGAAAATACCATTATAAAAGGTATCTGTTAATGTTTTCAAACAAAATGACTATTATAGTAATTGTTGATTAATATTTATAAATTATATTTAAGTTTTTGTATCTAACGTTATGATCTTACAACTTTATGTACGAAAATTTTTAAATAACTTTTAAATATTAATTAATAATTATAATAATAGTCAATTTGTGAATTTCAAATTTTTTTGAACAGACCTATCAGGCTTGAACCAGGATTTCAGTTTCCCATGCACTGAACTTGTAGATGTTTAACAGTGTTTCAAAAACCTAGTTTAAATCTTTGCAAGGGAAAAAGGGACATTCGTGACGAATTGAGGATTAAACAAGACTTTTAATTCTATATAAATAAATGACCCTGAGTACTGATTTTATTCTTCTAAGTCTACCAGCAGAATTAGTAGATGTATAAGTTTTGTAGATTTGAACCAGGCTGTCATTTTTGACTCGGGTACATACAATATTGAATACCGGTGGAAACCATTGGAGTTGTTGCTACTTCGACACCCAGCAAATTTATGTTTATGATTCTTTACGAAGAAACACATTATCTACAGATGCAATCACTGTTTTAGAATGTTTATTTACGTATTATCAATATGATCAAACTCCGATAAAGTTTGTGAAAGTGAGCTCCATTAAAATGAGATATAAAACGCTAACTGCATGCTTCGATTTGCGTTAAGGCAGCACATAAGCTCCACTGTTCCACATATAAAATTGACACCTAATGCATGTTAGAATTAAATTTTTAAAAAAAGAACAGGTCAATGATAACAGAAGCATTCTGAGCTCTAATAAAACATCAGATAAAACATGTTAAGCGCGGAATATAGTGAAAAAGTGGAAGAAAATATAAATACAATTTTTTGTTTTGTAAATATGAAGTAAAAAAATATGCATTATCGCTCAAAAAAGATGCGCAACATCTTAGAACTTTTTTACTGAAACGATTAAAAGGTGAAAAAGAGTACATAAAATATTTAAATTGCAGAAGTAATGCATGCTATGGGGCGTGAAGGAATTCCATGAAAGGGACTGTTGAAAACAGTCGCTCTTATGAAATTCTATCCGACATCCACTTACTCGACTGGTACGCCCTGGTAACTATCAGTTTTCATGGAGTGCATGTATGACATTCAATTCTCCTCAATTAAGCAGAATTGTTTAATCGAAAATGAAAACTGGTAGGCGAACGGATGCAAAGCTCATGTTGATACTTATATTTTTGCATTTTGCAGTAGTGTTAGAGAACAATAATCAATCAATCAAAAAATCGATTGTTTGGTTTACAAAATTAATTTCCTTCAATTGAGTGTGGTCCTTCCAATTCATTGAAAATAATGATTTTTTTAAAAACGATTTGTCAACATTGATTTTTGATGTAATTCTCATTTAAATTTAAGTAAAATCGATTGTAACAATCGGTTATCATGATTTTGATTATGCAACTTTGAAGTTGTAATAGCAAAGAACTGATTTTTGGGACACAATATTCGGGAGTGCTCTTCATACTATCCAATATGTAACATTCACAGCACAGAACGAAAAAGAAAGTTAAGATTTTTTGGTATTCTATTCGACGTGGAAGGTGGAGTTTAGTAGGCTCCACCTCTCTTGTATAACGCAGGCGCCGGATGTATACAGCACTGGAAGTGGAATTATAGTCGTGTAGAATGTAAGTTGCCTAACACTAAACATTTATTGTGAAACAACAACTGTACAGAAAAATGAAATCAATCATAATTGTAACGTATAAATCTAAAGCAGATGCTGTTTTAGTCCAGTAAAATGAGGGAAATGGGATAATTTTGGTTTGCTACGGCCAAAGTAATGATTTATAGATGACTAGACTGAAAAAATTCAAATAGATGACTTTCAGTCATCACGAAGGTGCGAAAATTTGCATACATGTTCTCAGATATGTCAAGAACATGTATGTACATTTTTAGATCGATTGAGGTAATTATGTAAGAGATATAAATTTTTTCTTTCACACATAGTTATTTTTTTGCGCTAAAAAATTGAAAAAACTACCCAAAAAAGTATAGCTACATCGATAGGAAATTTAATTCTCTATCGATCTATATATATATGATTATGGAACCTAAGATCGAGAAATTTTCTCTAACATTTCACTGCAAATGCTGGGTGTGTTGCAACAACACACCTACACATGTTATTTCAGTGTAGTCGTTTTGAATACACTTTTGGGTGTGTTATTTTTAGCACGTGTAGGTGTGTTAGCACAACACGTGTATTTTATCGAAAAAAGTGTGTTTTATAATTTATGAAATCCTGAAACACGTGTTAAGAAGACATGTTAAAAATGGCTCTTAAAGAATGAATACTCATTAATTGAAAGTTCTACATTTATTATTGTTTCCATCAATGAACTTACGATAATAAATGAAAAAGTAAAAATGAAAATATAAAAAAGTATAAGAATATGATTCAACAAAGCATAAATCATCTTACTGGTCTTGCAATGACGGCTCAAGTTTTTGTTTGAACTTTAGTATTAATGAATTTTTAATATTGATTTTAAGTCCCAATATTTCGTGCTCTAAATAACGAAGAATGTTCATTTATGCTTGTGGGTAATCTCGGTGCCAGACATAGTATGCAGAAAAATTCCAATTACAACCTTTTCTGTTGATGGATTTTTTATTTCCATCATTATATTCTCATCTGCCACTATGTACGCTGTTGATATATTATTTTTATTTAAATAAATGACTGCTCGAGGAGCTTCATTTTCTTTAGTTATTAGAGTAGATGTTGATGACATCACCTGAATCAAAATTATTAGAACATATTAACACATGATATTTAAATTAAAGTTCGTAGATTAATGAATATTATAATTCCTAATTGAAGTACCTCTTGCACAACAAATAGCTGATTTATTTTTTTACTTGTAGAAAGTTTTTTTGAAGTCAGTTCACTACACATATTAGTGATTGTTTGAAGTTTGGAACGTTCATCATTGTTTTTTATTGAATAATAATTCAATAATTTATCAATCATTATTTTTAATTTTTCAAAAACTGATGTTTCTATCAAATCTTTGAAATTAAGAAATTCAAAAACAACCTACAATCATGATAAAAACGAATATGTTATAAGTTTATAACTAATTACTAAAGTTAACACAATTTATTTAGGAAAAGTTTGAGTTCAAATTCTATACCATTTCGTAATATTGTAATGCAGAATATTTCGTAATCATGTCTGTGATCTGGTTAATAATTTTTTGAAGTACATTAACACCCTCATTTTAATCTTTCTCCAATTCTTGAAGCGCGGTCTGGATATCAATATCTGTTTGAACTCTGTGTATGAAATATAATAATAATATTGCATAAAAAAATGAATCGCATATTAAATCAGTTTGACTAATTAAAAATTCTAATGAATTATAATTACTATAACTTACTATAACAGTAATACGTACGATGATGGAAGAAGCACAGCTTGTTCTGAAGGTAATTTTTTTTGTTTGGGATCTCCTTCTTGGTTTCGTTTAGTACCTTTTTTATTTTCTGGTTTTAGATTCCTTCTATGGTTTCGGACATCATTCAAAAAATATTTTAGAATCGCATAAATCTTGTTTCAGTCTTAACATTTCACTACATAAATCTTATTTTGCTAATTAAAAAAGTAACAAAATAAATTTTTTACTTTACTCACAGTTCCATAAACGTCAGTAGATAAGTTTGAGAATGCAGCAGCTATATTTGCGGCAAAAGCTGCATAGTCTTTTGGTGATAGAGATCCATTAGTTTTTAATTTTAATAATTTAACAAATATGCAGCCCAAAATGCAATAAATTGGTGTCGGTTCTTAAGAGTTATTCCTGATTGAGAAAGTAAATCTTTTGTTAAAGGTGGTAACGATAATCCTGATGAACTTAAGCTGTTTTTTTTCCTGAATCAGTCGGTGGCAACGGCGTAATGGAAGTACTGGCAAGGTTATTTGTGTCTTCTGGAGGAGATAATGGTCTATTCTGTTATATTGTTGAAAAAATAAATTCAATTAAAATATTATAATATACTGACATCCTTACACGAATACCTTAACAGTTAAACTATAACAGATATTTTAGATGATGAAAATTTTGAAATCTATTTATTTATATATTTTTTTTAACGTAAAACGAATGTCTCTATTATTTAAACATAATCTGTCAGCATTTAATATATTTTTTGTTATCAAAGGCTAATGAGGATCATCATAATACCCGTGTAGTATATGAATCATGAATTGTTTTTTTTTCTAATAAGATTTTACGAGATAAGAACCACTGAGAATTGACATCACACACTAACACATGACTTTTATATTCACACCAAATAGAATGCAAAGTAGTAAAGACTAATTTTTACAAGTTTTCATAAATTTAATAACATTTTTAAGATTAAATACCGGTTCAACTGTAGTTGTTTCGTCAAGTACAATGAAGCCTGCATTCATTATATCATTGTAGTCCAGTCAAATGAGGGAAATGGGATAATTTTGGTTTGCTTTGGTTTGCCAATTTTCGCACGTTCGTGATGACCGGAAGTCATCTATTTGAAATTTAAAAAAAAAAGGATGGAGGAAAAATTAATTATTTGGGAGAAAGAAAATTTTTATCTCTTACACAATTATATCGATCAATTTAAAAATCTGCATACATGTTCTCAGATATGTCAAGAACATGTATGCACATTTTTAGATCGATTAAGGTAATTATGTGGGAGATATAAGTTTTTTCTCTCCCGAATAATTATTTTTTTTGGCAAAAAAAAATCGAAAAAAATGCCCAAAAAAGTATAGCTAGATCGATAGGAAATTTAATTCCCTATCGATCTATATATATATGATTATTGGACCTAAAATTGACAAATTTTCTCTTAAATTTAAAGCGCGTAAAACTTAGAAAAAATCTCGCGCTGAAAAATTTCGAGCTCGGAAAGACTTTTAAAGTAACCAGCATGTGCCCAAAACATCCCCTCTTCACTCACCGTATAGTGTCTTTGTCACACTTACGGTTGGAGTGAGTATTTCACTCGCACTTACGCTTTACCATACTCGGCGCATGCGCAGAAGTTTTGTGGGAGTGCGAGTGAAGCAGAGAGATATGTATTGCTCTCTGTCGCACCCAACGGCGGCAGAAGAGGAAAAGTGCTCTCAGGGGCCCAAATATTTATACCTATATAACTTTTAACAGGTGCAAAATAATAAAAAACTTTGCATAGATGAAATGTTCCATTTTTAATTCTGCACATTTTGAGCCCAAAATCGGGCTGATCGGTGCATTTGAACCAAAATGAGAAGGATTTAAATAATTCATTGTTTATAAAAATAATGAAAAAATTAATAAAAAAAAAATTTTTTTCTCTAAAAATGAAATTTAATATCTCATTTTTCTAAAGAAATCGCCAAAAAGTAATATTTCTAACATTAAGTATTTTTTATTAATTTTCTTAGACGCGACTAAAGCTTTTGTCAATAGTGAAGCTTCAGTCGCGAATAACTTTTTATCTATCATAGATATGAAAAAAAGTGTTCAGTACTTTGTTTTATGAAAATTAAATTCTGAACAACTTTTATTTAAAACATTTTTTCATATCTATCATAGAAATCGAGATATTCGCGGGGGGGCGGTTTTTCGCGATTTACTCCCCCCCTATGCGTGCCAAACAATTCTAACCTACACCATTGTGTTTCTCGCGAAATTTCCGATCCAGTCATCTATGAATCATTAATTTGGCCGCAGCAGACTAAAATTATCCCATTTCCCTCATTTGACTGGACTATTGGTACTGACTTTGTCTTCTATTGGAATTAAAATTACATTTACATCACTTTTGTTTTCAATTTTTTCATCTTATTTAAGATCACGAAACTGGTTGTTTCTATCAATATCCTTTATTTGTAAGAGGATATGATTTCCTTGTATTTTTTGATCCAATAACTTGTCTGATGCACACATTCCATCTAACCTTCTACGGATTATTTCCGTATCAGACAGATTTTCTTCAGAGGTATATTTTACACACTTACACAGTTCATCAATTATGCAAAACACTGTTTTCGCCATCACTGAATTGTTTTTTATTGTTTTTCGACAATATTATTCAAACGAACAATTAATCATGCACCTGAATCCACAACAATAAAAATATCTAACAGCACACAAGTCCAATCGGTGTTTGCCTTTCTTTCAAAGTACACGTGCTGCTAAGTGTGATGGCGTTAGCGTAGCTGATATGAGTGTGAAAAATATTAAGTTTGAAGGGGGCAGCACGACGAAGCACGTTTACGAGTATGTTTTGTTTTAAAATGTTAAGTATTGGTGCTCAACGTTCAAAGATTCAATTTTTTCCTCAATGAAATATTACTAAATTACACCGATAAATATTCATTTATAGTGAAATAATTATATGTACAATAAAACATAACATTGAAGTGAATATTTATTTTCAACTAAATTATTTTTGAAAATACAATATTATTTATAACTAAAGTAAGAAGTTACTCTTGTTCATAAATAAAATTCTAAAATATATTGTGGACTAACTATAATTTCTTAAAGATTTGATTCTATTTTTTAAAATGAATGAATTTAAATGTTATCATTTCCTCAACATTTATACCGAAGACATAGAACCAATAAAGACGTTGAAGACTTGAGAAATGAAAGAGAAGGATATGATCTATTGGATGAAAATAAACCTCTGATAGAAGATAACGATGAAGGTATAGCATTTAAAAAGAAATTAAATAAATAAATTTTTAATTATTTTTATATTAATTGTACGTACATTCTATACAGATCATCAAGAAGGAATAGCTGTTGATTTAGAAGAACGTATGACGTGGCATGCTGCTAAATTTCTCTTCAACATCAGAGAAAATTGCAAAGTATCTCAAAAAGCTATAGATACAATTATTGACGGTGTAACATGATTAGTTGATATCTATACATCAATTATTTTAGTAAGTTATACTATCTCTTCTTAGCAAATTAAAGAATAACAGCAACTTAGAACTATTTTTCTTGATATGTATATTATAATTCATTTTTTTTCATAGAAAAAAATATATAGCAAAGAAGATACTGAAAGTAATACAATAAAAAAAGAAGATATTACTTCCGTATTTCATGAAGAATGCCCGCCATCGATGATATTCTCTTCAATTCAAACTAAGGATGCTCTAGATCAAGTACTCATTACAGATCTCAATATGGTTCCAGCCAGAAGTCTCACTATTGCAAAGGGTTTAACTTGGAAAAGAAAAAGAAATTCAGCACCAGTAATTTGTTGTACTGATTATAATCCTCCGATTATACCATTTTTGACTAGTTTGAAAAACTTGTTATCAAACGAAGAAATTCGGAGCTACATAGATAACCAAAGACTTCAACATGATAACGTATTCCGCACAGTGTTAGACGGAGAGTTTATATTAACACATAAATATTCCATGTTTTATTGGATTTAAGGTAACTTAAATCCCAAAGTGCGATCATCATTGGACGCAATCCAATTATATGGAGTAGTTAAAACAGAGTATTTGAAAAAACCGAATGCTTTAAATAAACTTCTACAACCTTTCATAGATGATATTAATTTCTTACAAAATACAGGAATTGATGTTGATATAGGAAGAGGACGGGTTCGAAACTATAAAGGTTCTTTACTTTTTTGTTCTGAAGATACTCCAGCATCAGCGATGATTGGACGTTTTAAAGAGTCTACTGCAGCACTTCGACCTTGTCGTTCTTGTCAGACAACCAATAACGCTTGGAAGTTAAGTTTTCGTGATGCTGATTTTACGCCACGAACAATTGAAATACATGAGGAAGCTGTGAATATAATCAATGATGAAACTATCACTCCAGCAACAAAAAAGTTTTGGCAAAAATTTACGAGAATAAATAAAAAAAATTCCTCTGATGGAAATTGAACATTTTGACATCACAAAATGTCTTCCTCAAGACATTATGCACATTTTAATTGAAGGGCCACTTGAAATTTCTTGGCGACTTTATTGGTCGTATTGTATTCAAACCTTGAAGCTTTTTAAATTACAAGATTTTAACCATAGTTTAATTAATTTTAATTATAAACAGTTTAAGAAAGATAAACCTGCATCTATAGAATCACGTCATTTAGAATCAACTGCTACTTTACGTCAAAGTTCAGCCCAGTTATTAACACTTGCTCATGTCTTAGAATTTTCAACTGTCACGTGGACAATGGCTTGTAAAGACATCCATCTTATAGAACGTACTTCTTGTTTCATAGAAATGTTACAAATAGTAAATATTGCTCTTGCATATGAAATTAATATGGATTCAATTGCTTTGCTATCATATATGATTGATTTATTTGTCAATCACTTCAATGAGTTATATCCTGATTGCTTAGTTTCTAAATTTCATTACCTTATACATGTACCCCGCTACATACGTTTATTTGGGTCAGCAAGGCAACAATGGTGCTTCCGTTTTGAAGGATTACATGCCTAATTTAAAGGACTTATGCCAGTAGTGCGAAACTATAAAAATGTGCCAATTACTTTAACTTATAGACATCAATCTCGCTTATGTTCAAAACTTAGTTCATATCAAGGTGCTCCGGCAAAAAAATTTCTATATTTAGGTGATACAGTCACTTCTGGAAAGATTATTTCGTTAAATGATCTTCCAGATGCAAGAATTTTTTATGAATTTATTGATGAAGCTGAAAGACTGACATGCGAAATGATATTGTCTCCAAAAGTAATAATTTATGGTACATCATACCAACCAAGTAGTATAATATTATTAGAATGTAATGACGATAATCTGCCTGTATTCGGTGAGATTGAGAATATATTCATTTATAATAATAAGAAATTATTGTTAGTATTATTACATATAACTGAAAATTATGAGTCAAAACTAAATGCTTATAAAATTAGTCGATGTCTGAATAATGAGAAGCTTGAAATTAATATTGAGACATTGATATTTCCTTGAATTATCTTGTTTTATTTTTAAAGACTCAAAATACGTACCATTAATTAATTATCAGCGAATAGAATTATACGCGTAAAGATTTGAAAAACTAAAGTTAACTTTGTTAATTAATATTGATGTAAATTTTATTCGTTCTTGCTGTAACAGTTACATTAAATCACTAAAAAACATATCTTATTTGTATAAATTTGTTGAGTTATCTGTCCTCTCTTATATATAAGACATAATTGTAATAGATATAATTATAATTATTATATATTTGGATATATTCACATGTATGTTTCAGTTTGTATTACGATTAAACTTTTCTACATGTGTTATTTTATGAAGTTTATTCTTTGCTGACACACGTTATATCAAAAAGTGTGCTAAATTACATTACATGTGTCATTCTAACACGTGCTACTATATAATAGATTATATGGGTGTTACTTCGTCAGAATTAAAAAGTGTGTTATACTTAAAACACGTGTTCAATATTTAATCTACCAAGATTACACGTGTTATAGTAACACACGAACACGCGTATTAGAAATAATGCAACACACTAAACGCAAATAATATGCTTAGGTGTGTAGCAATAACACATGTTCGTGTGCTAAATAACACACCCAGCATTTGCAGTGTTGAAGCGCGTATAACTTAAAAAATCGCGCTTAACGGCGCCAGAAGAGGAAAAGCACGCTCGGGCCCCTAAATATTAAAACTTGTCAGGTGAAAGATAGAGCAGAATTCTGCAAAGGTAAATTGTTCAATTTTTGATTCTGCACATTTTGAGCCCAAAATCGGGCTGATCGGTGCATAAGGATGATTTAAATAATCCATTACTAATAAAAATAATGAAAAAATTAATAAAAAAAATTTTTTTTTTTGAGAATATAGTTTAATATCTCATGTTTTAAAAAAAAAATCGCCACAGAGTAATATGTGTAGCGTTAATTATTTTTAATAAATTATCTTAGACGCGCCTGAAGCTTTTGTCAATAGTGAAGCTTCAGTCGCGAATAACTTTTTATCTATCATAGATATAAAAAAAAGTGTTCAGTACTTTATTTCATTTAAATTACATTCTGAACAACTTTTATTTAAAACATTTTTTCATATCTATGATAAAAATCGAGAAATTTACAATGGGGAGGGAGGGGCGGTTTTTTTGCGATTTACTCCCTCCTTATGCGTGCCAAACATTTTTGACCTACTCCATCGTGTTCCTTGCGAAATTTTCGATCTAATCATCTATAAATCATCACTTTGACCGCAGCAAACTAAAATTATCCCATTTCCCCCATTTGATTGGACTGTTCCTTTAACTTAGTCAAATGTGCATCCAAAATATCAGTTACACATAAATTTTGCAATTAATAATCGTTGATTTATATTACTAAATTGAATCAAAGAAATGCGTTTAGCTTCTTTTAATAATATTTGACAGTGTGCGGTAAAAAGCCGTATGCTGATTGACCAACACAATCTTTCTTTGTATTGTAAGACCGTTCACACAATCAAAAACATAAGCCGTAACGTACAATTTAAGATGTACGCGTGCATATTAACATCATAATAAGTTAAAAATTGGTTTGTACGCATGCGTACATCTTACGGCTTTTGTTTTTAATTGTGTGAACACCCTCAGTGCTATAGTTACTTTTTCCATGCTGTAAACAAAGATGACATTCATATTTTTCGTTACGATTTAATATTGGCGGCAACACGTTATATCATTACAATTTATTATTAACTTAAACGGATTGACGCAGTGCCCTCATGGATAAGCGTCAGCTTGACGCACGATGGGTCGCGGGTTCTCGAGTCCCAGCCGAGACAAAAGTCATTTATATGATTTTTCTCGGGCCACCGTGAGCAGGAGGAAGACCTCTTCGGAGAGCCGGGTGATTGTATCGACGACACAGATTTACTGCGTAAGATCCTGATTGTAGGGATAGGGAGGCAGTATTGTAAAACGTGCCGTATTCATTCCAACGAATTAATTAATTAAGAAAGTTAATTATCAATGAACCTAATTCATTTATTTATTTGTTTATATAACCAAAAAAATTATCACTAAACTTAAATAAAATTGTTTGTCGGTAACGTAGTTATCACAGCTAACGTTACTCAATTTTCAGGTGCTGTGGAACACTAAATTTTCTGGTGCTGCCAAAGTAATTTTCAAAATACTGGAAGATAAATTTTCTTATGTAACTTATAATTTTTGTATGTTGATCATTACTTTTTACTTTTCAGTAAGTTTGAACTCACATTCTTGAGCAGCACGGTAATTTTTGTATGGATTTTTAAATAAAAATTAACAGAATTTTTTCTCCGTGTACATAGCATTTGTTACGATTTTTTGTTTAGAACAGTGAATCGATCGATGCTTTCTAACTTTACGACTTTTTTTATGTCACATAGGGTGATTACTCTATACCATTTAGGAAATTACTCAATTTTCTTGTTTCAGAAATGCTGACATTGTGACATCAGCTATTCTTCACGATGCTATTAATACATAAACATAACTCTCCTAGTCTATCTTATGAGTTTTGTTTACATTGTGTTGCGTTTAAGCACGTTCATTATGATAAAAAATTCGCAATAAGTGTGACATGCGCTGACATGCCGCTACAAATTTTATGAAAAACACTTTTTCATATTTATTATAGTTCTTGAAAAAAATGACAACAAATGTAAAAAAATTTCATTCACTTCAGTATTTCCGTGAATAAAAACTTATATGAAAGACTATAGTGACGTTAAATTGAATCAATGATTTAATGTTTGTATCAATACAAACATAAAATACGAGCAGATTCTTGATTGAAATTGTTCTATCGAAGAGTGGATATTCAAAAAATTCCAAATAATACCAAGTCGAATAAGCGTAGAGTATTATTTCAATTTTTTGTCATAGAGTTAAAAAGAAAGAATTACTAAAAATTAATCATTTGATTAAGAATACATGAACATATGTATGTCTTGAGCACCAATACAATTTTTATTCGAAACTCGATCTTACGTTCCAAAATTTTTTATGTCAGAACTGTTTTGGCACTTCTTGCCGTAGAAGTTTCTTCGTCATTACAAGGGCAGTATATAAATAACTGACCTCGGAAAGATACAGAGATGTAACACTTACGTAGTAAGATAGAAAAAAAGTTGAAGTCATAATCAATCTTAAAATAGTGACTATTCTACTAATGTTTAATATTAAACAGAAATAGTGACGCAACTAACGTACGTCTGTGGGGAAGGGTTCACAACATCACTGACTGCTTATTCTGTGCAGAAACGGTTGGAACGAAACTGATCTAAACTGTAATCCCTCTAAAGAACGATACGATTCGACTGAAAGTTTTTCATCCAATAAAAATTTAAAAAATTTATTGAAGTATAATATATAAATAATAATCTATTCGAATTTTTGTACAAAAAATTTGTATACTACATCGATTATTCTTTTTTTTAGTTGGATTAAAATTTTTCTTGAAACGATGGTTTATGAAAGTGATTTCTACACGACTCGACGCCCGTATCGGCCTTCGTACTCAGCAACTATGGTTAGTATTTTTAAGTACTATTTTTCATGTTTATTATTCATGTTAGCTAATTTAAGTTCTTCTGGCTTATCGTATTTGCTATTTCTATTAGACAATTTATCCAATTATTTTTTATTTAGTTGTTGTGGTAAGCAGTCGATTAAAACAATTAATACATAGAATTTTTAAATATAATTATTTCTGTCAACTTACCTTTAGTCATAATCAAAAGTTCAATTTTTCTGGTCGCGGCTAAGCGTATTGATTTTTAATAAATTTGAAGTAATGAAATAACAAACGGCAAAATTAACATGTAAATTTACGCCATGCTTTGCATTAAAAAAATTAACCTTTCTTTCACTGGAGTAACATGTTTCAAAAGATTTGTTTTTCTTTTCGATAGTAGGCCTTATATTAAAAAAAACTATGATTAGTTTTTTTTATTATTTTCAACTGATTACTTTTGATATTGAATCTAATTCATCAAAGAACTTGTTCATTTATTATTATTCGAATTCGTCAAATTTATTCATAATATTTTTTCATTTTTTTTTCTTACCGATGTTAGCGACAGTTTGATACAGATATTTTACATCACATCAATGACTTTTTCTCTTAAGAATTGTGATTATAACATACTTTTATTTTTATCTATTTCTTCATAAGATTGAACATTCAGTTTTTCGGACTCAATTAATCGTTGTATTTTTCGAAATAACAATAGTTAAATGACATTTTTGAAAAAGCATAAACCAGGCATACAATATAGTGAGACCTCGGGTTGTATTTCAATTTCTTAATATAGGCTCTCAGCGTGAGCCATTACGTTTCTGTGTCAGTATAGCATAAAATAACTTTTTAAATATAACGTCTATTTTCAAATATGACCAACTCTCTAAAAGTCATGATGTTCTCTCCTCTCAAAATTTGTGAAGAAATCATAATATCATACTTTTATTTTAGTTTATGATGGCTCGGAATGCGATTGCCCTAATGCTGCCCCTACCTTAGAGATTATAATCTTTCCGTCCAGAATTTATAACTCCACCTAATAAGCTATTAGTTCATTAGTCATTTTAACATGTCGCAATTATTTGTTCGGAAAAAGTGGATACTATAACAAAAGAATGATTAATAAATTGTATGCAAAGTGTATAACTTTAAAATTGAGGAACTTGTATAAATGTTTATTAGCACATTTTATTTTTTTTTCTTCATGTTCGGAGAAATAGCACTGATAGCCACAGGTGATCTATAGTTTACAATAACTAATAGACATGGATTTTATTGCAAAATAATGAAAAAAATTTTGTTCTACATTTCAAATGCATAAATTGGTTTAAAAATATCATTTCATGGAAAAAGTCAACTCAACTTCAGAATCTAAGGTTTATAGCGAAATCATTGTTCTTGACTATTAGAAGATGATATCGATTTCAATTTCATTCTATTTAGACGTAGCATCGTAATAAACACCTGATCAAGTCTTTGTTAAATTCAAGAATAGCGACCGTTACGAAACTATGTACAGATTTTATCTAATTTTTTAGATAAAATTTAAAATGCTTCGGCATAGTTATTAATACAAGTTTTTTTTGTGTCGATGCCGAATAAAGTGGTTTGAAAAGTCAGTCTTTAAATTCGAAATCGATAACCCACACAAAAATCCAATGTAAATACAACATAATGTATGCAGAATATACCCGAGATATATTTGGAATATTATACTTTTGGCAGATTTTCATATATCCAGAATACATCCTGTTTATATCCCAGTAATAAAACCAACATTGAAGATACTAACAGAATATATCTTATAAATATCCATATAAATTTTTAAAATAAAAAAAAAAAAAACAAGAAAATTTTTTTCTGATTAAATTTATAAATGAACAAACAATAAAAAATGATCTCAACAGCAATAATGACGCATAGGAGTTCTCACTGCTGACAGTTTGAGAAGACCAGTCGTTCTCAGCTTGTTTTTTTATTGTCAACAAAAAAGCGTTTTACTTAATTTGTTTGAATTTTTCTACATTACATTCTTTTCGAAGGGATTCGTCCAAAGTCGATCTTTCTATCTACGTCAATGTATTAAGAAAAATTCAAAAAAAAATATTTTACTACCTATTACTCCTGTCAAGACAGACCTGAAATGACAATTTTTCAATCTCGGTCAAACTTGGCTGGAATATTCCTAGGCATGCTAGATTTAAATAGGGATAGTTTTTAGGGGGTTGTAGACCTAGCGATAGAGTGAAAAAGGGATAAAATTGCTCTAAAAGCCGTTTTTTGACGTTTTTAGCGAAAACTATAATAGATATCAAAATATGTTTCAGACAAAAGTTGTAGATAATATGAAAATCTACAACATTTATAAAAAATTTTTTTGCATCTATTAACGTTTTCGCGAAAAATGTCTTTCAAGTTGCCAATTTTTAAAATTAAAAATTTTTTTTTAAGAAATTGTTAGAAATAAGATTTGCAAACGAAAAGTCCTCTCTTATTTTTCTAAATTTCCCGAACTCTAAAAGTTGAAAAATAGGGCTGCTGAGGGCCCGGCACTGAACGCAAGAAAGACAGCGTATCGGACGCACTCGTCGCATTCATTGCGAGTTTTTAAGCATAATAAACATGCGTAGAGAAATCGTAATATAAAGAAAGCCCATAGAATAAAAAGACCGGGTTTTGTTTATATATTGAAAATAAAAGAAAAAGAAGCTGACGTAACCTGGTCAGCATTCTCAAAATATAAAATGGAAAGAAAGTCAATATTCAAACCAGAGGTCGTCATTACCTCACGACAATTGTTTTTAAAAAAATGCAAAAATAAATTAGTTTTAATCGATTCAGTTTTTGATTTTCAGTCGATTAGAAATAGTTCATTTTTGCATTTTTTAAAAACAATATTCCCGTTTCAACTCCCGCTAAAAAAATACCCTACATCACTTTTTAAAGAAATGCAGAAGTAAAATATTTCTAATCGACTTAAAATCAAAAACTGAATCGATTAAAACTAGTTTATTTTTGCATTTTTTAAGAAAAATATTTTCATTTCAACCCCCTCTAAGAAAATACTTTACGTTACTTTTTAAAAAAATGCAGCCCGAAAAAACCCTTCAGTCAAGCATTTTTACGCCAAAGCGTATTAACATTATTCAGGGCCCCGAGGTAAATGACAAGGAGCACATGATCTTCTGTCTTCACCTCACTCACTTTAATTTCTGCGCATGCCTCACGCATAAAGAAGTATAAGTAGAAGTAAAAAAATTTCATGTTAGTAGAAATAGGGAGATTGTTAATGTATTAGCTCTGCAGTCAGAGCAAACGATTTTTATTTTGCAGATCAGGGTTCGAGTCCAGTTACAACAGAATTTTTTTTTCTTTTCTTTTCATTAAAATTGCACATAAATGCAATGATAACTTGTCTATATTTTTTAAAAATATATTTTTGAAGTCTTTCTTCAAAATATACTTTTTTCTGGAAGTAACTGGACGTAAGAAAGGGCTGACTTAAAGTTTTCTTTCTAAAAAAACGCATTTTTTAGTCTGGATCAATCAACTTAGCTTTACAAACTGAATTAATTAAACTGGACTTAAAAATATATATTTTTTTGAAAGTAGAGGAGGAAGAGAAAAAAGTGACATTAAATTTTTTTTTTAACAAATTTTGTTTTTTAAAGACTTTAGAAATAAATTTCAAAATAATATAAATGAATGATCATTGTCATTATATGTAATTTAAATGAAAAAAAAAAATTTTTTGCTGCGACTAGACTTGAACTTTGATCGGCAAAATGAAAATCGAATGCTCTAACCACAGAACGGATGATTTTAACTGCTTTCGAATATTCTTTAATCGTTTGGAACAAAGCCACGTTTATAGAACTATACTAAAAAAGGGTTTTTAACCCAGTTAAAATCTTTTCTCATTCAACGACTATTAATTCAATGAATAATCAAAAAAAAACAACTCAAATCGTTATTAAGAATTAATTTTGGCATGTTAATATTATAATTACATGCAAATCTAACTACAATAAAAGTCTCGTACTCCGACCACAAAGCTATGATGTATACATGTGGCAAATTCAAAATAATAAGTCATAAGCTGCAGACTTAGGTAAGGAAAGTAGGGAGAGAGCGTTTTTTATTGTTTATTATTTCAAATTGTTTGACAATAAATCCTACAAAGAATATAGCTGTATAGAAATAAGTTTTTTCACCCTTTTTAAATTTTATGTTACTCCTCCGTCATTGATTGGATAAGTTATTATGAAAAAAATTACAATTGTTTTTTAAATTAATTTTAACAGGCTAAAATTGCATGCACCGATAGAAGTATTTCTTTGTATCTAACATAATTTATTAGCAGCTAATAAATATGTTATTTAAAAGAGAAATCAAATGAACATTTGTTAACAGTTAAAAAATTATTTATTAGAGTAGATTTATTTGGCTCAATGAATGATTTCTTAGTTGCAAACAAATATTTATTTCTCATATAAATATTATGATTGGGCTCGATGGTAAGGTAGAATGACGGTAAAGCATAATCACACCAAAAATAGCTCTAACGGACTTCACAAAAATACGCGCCAAGTATGAATAACGAAGACGATAATCATCGTTCATTAAGTGCGATCTCTATAAAACTTCTTTATGTGAACAACTACAAAAATGCGTGGAATCATTGCAGCCAAGTATTTAAACATAAAGATTAATTATATTTAATAAAATAAAATAGAAATGTTTTTTAATTTTCGTTAAATTATTATGTAATTTTCTACATAAATCAAAGACAAACTCTTTATAATAAGATGAAAAAAAAAATTCAATACATGAAGAAAGTTGACAGCCTTATTACGTTTTAAAATTTTAAAAATAGAAAAAAAAATTGTATTGAAAACAAAATTTCTCTTTTTTTATAAAAATTTATTTAAACACAATTAACTTGGTGTGGCTCTTACAGCTGTAGATAAAACGATAATTGGCTATCGATTATAAAAACCATCTAATCA